CCCTCTGGGGACAGCTTGCAGGCCAGTGTGGAAGCGGGTGCTACCTCTTGTCTTTCTGCAGGGGGTGGAAAGCTTCTTGTTTGGTATTTAAGGAATAATAGAAACACAAATGACTTCTCCCAACCCCTGCAGATAAAATCAAAGAGCGTAACAGCAATATAACAGTTCCCCAAAATTCATCTGGATCCTGGAAATTCCAGGGTTTTTGTTCACTTAGAGAAAAATAAGAAGCACTCTGTACAGGCTGGTTTCAAATACGAGTGCACTGGCCTTGGAAGAAGAATCTGGAGAGCACAAAATACCTTTTATTTATGCTATAGAATATTCCACCACCGGGATTTGGGATTCTTCACTTAGTTCAGAGAGTTGTTTAAAATGCCGGGCTCCCAGTAGGTTCAAATAACATTTATTGACTTTGTCTCTGACAGTGTCCATATTTTTAACAAAAGAATCGAAATAACCTGTTTCACACAAAAATGCTTAAGCAAATTTAGCTAAGAGCAGTAGAGCACTGAAAAATTCAATTTATGTTTCTTAGGTAAATACACAGCTATGTAAAACATTTCCTAGTAAGGTCAGTAAGGGGGTTATTTCACTATTTAAAATTTTCTGAATCGGGCTCCTGGCTCTGAGCTGTCAGCACAGAGCTGACGCCAGGCTCGAACCCACAAACTGTGAGATCATGACCTGAGCTGAAGTCGAACGCTTAACTGACTGAGGCACCCGGGCGCCCCTCACTATTTTAAAAAGGTAGCTCTTGAAAACTATTCCAGCTAGTAGGTGAACCATTCTTTCCTGATGTGGTGCCTGGTATGGTGTCCCTGGGCACTGTCATCTAAAGGAGATTAGGTAGGGGCTGAGGACCCATTTCCCTCTCCTAGTTGGCATCCCTTTACATCTCTTCTCGCTTCAGCTAGAACTGGGGGCAAATCTCCTTAAGGAGGATAAGTAGCCTTAAAAAAAAACAAAATCTATTAATGCCAGGAAGAGAAGAATCTTGACTGCCAGGGTCTAGGGAGTAGGGATGGGGATGGGCTGACCTCTCTCTGGGCTTGATTATTGATTATGACCTTCTCTCCTACCTCCAGTCTCCCTACACACATTTTCCCCAGGGACAATGACCAGCACACAAGGTCTGGAATGGAGGTGGTTAGTAGAACCAGTGAGAATTGGTATAAGCACCGTCAATTGCCCTGTCCTTGTACCTAGAAGTCTGAAAAAGTTAGCTAATAGTATGTTTTTCCCTAGAGAATGAGGGGCCAGAGAGAAGCTTCAGTAACCCAAAGGGTAGGATGAATATCCCTCCTGAGTTCTGGATTTCGGAGGCCCTCTGTTAAGGCAGGGTAAACCGAGACCTCAGACCATCTCAAATAATGATTATAATGTCAGTAAAATGCTAATGTCTCAGTGAATGAACTAACACCGAGACATCAGCTCATCTCAAAATGAGCTGCAAGGGAGGTACTCGTAGATATGTAAACAGAGAAGGCAGATGAGTTTAAAATGAGACCTGATCTTTCACACGGAGTTAAGGTATTTCTGGCCATGTAGGGGAAAATGAAGTCTGTCCTGGCAAGAACGTTAGCCCTGGACAGCGGCCTCTCACTGCCAAGCATGAATGAGGGGAAAGCCTGCTTGCTTCCTGTTTTCTGTCCCTGCCTGAGCACCTCCCTTGCTGGACCCTGCCTGGAGACGCCCCCAGGCTTCCAGCAGCTGGGAGCCACGTGGGAGAGGAGGGCGGGAAGAGTTTACATCAAGTGTCCTGGATGTTGGAAACCTGTCCCCAAAAGCAACACAGAACTTTCTCAGAGTTCCTTAAGTTTCCCAAGTTCACAGCAGTTTATCCGTGGATTAAAGCAGAGCTGGCCCAAACCCATGGAAAGAGCAGCAGGCCAGGCCAGGTCCCCCAGTGCGGATTCCGAAAGCCTGTGGCTTATTTGGGTGGAGGGGGTGGGATTTTGGAGCATTTGGATTATATGCTAAATGGAATGACAGAACAAGTTTGCTACTTCCTTGGTGTTACATAATTCAACAAAGAGTGAAGGTCTGTTGTTTCAAAACAAAAACAAAAAACAACAAAAAAACCCCAAAACCCCGTCCTATCTTCGTCTAATAATACCTCTTTCCTCCAGAAGACAACCACACTCTCAGATTCCAGAGCCACATTTTCAATTCCTCAGATTGAACCAAACATTCAGTCGGTTTTGATATTTTCCACATCTTTTAAAGACAAAGCATGTTGGCTGCCTGCATTTTAATTTTCCTGAAGACCTAAAAATGGTTGGCAGATCAGAACGAATAAACAGTCTTCAGTACAAAGTCCCCAAAGCCTCAGACTTTTTTTGACTCAAGCTGTTACCGTGTAGAACAACCAATTCAATATTATAAAAATGTAAAGTATTTCAGATATGCAGAAAAGCATGAAGAATGTAACCAACACCTTTGAGTTCACTGTTCAATATAAGCAATAAAACATGTATGGGTCTGTACAGTTGAAGTCCCCACTACTAGCCTTCCCCACCCCACCTCCGGATAACTGCTATCCTGAATTTGGTATCATTCCCACGTTGTCGTAATTATTTTACTATGTCTTTACTATTTTACTATTTACTAAATTAATTTACTAAAGTTATTTTGCAAACTTGTTATACATGCTTCTTAAGCTTCATATAAATTAAATGGAATATGTATTTTAATAATATGTAATATATAATAATATATATAATGCATTCAACTGCAATTTGTTTTTTCCTCTCTATAATCATGAGATTCATCTATGTGGCTATATGCACATCAAAAATTTGTGTATCGTGCATGTACCTATCCATTACTAAATATTGCCAGATTGTTCTAAAAGTGGTACCAATTTAGGGGCGCCTGGATGGCGCAGTCGGTTAAGCGTCCGACTTCAGCCAGGTCACGATCTCGCGGTCCGTGAGTTCGAGCCCCGCGTCAGGCTCTGGGCTGATGGCTCAGAGCCTGGAGCCTGTTTCCGATTCTGTGTCTCCCTCTCTCTCTGCCCCTCCCCCGTTCATGCTCTCTCTCTCTCTGTCACAAAAATAAAATAAACGTTGAAAAAAAAATTTTTTTTAAAGTGGTACCAATTTCAACATCCACTATCAATATATAAAAGAGTACTTTTTGCTTAACACCTGTGATAAAGCTTGGTATTATCATTATCAGACTATAATTTTTGCAGTTTAAGAGCAAAGGAACAACGCCCTTGAAGTTTTAGTTTGCATTTCTGATTACTAGTGAACTTAGGTGTGTTTATCAGCCTCTTAGTTTTCAACTTCTTTGAATAATATCTTTTGATTATTTTCTATTGGTAGTTTGTTCTTTATGCGTCCTTAGTCCTAATCCACTCTCGGTATTGTGCAAATATTTTCCCTTATTGTACTTTATACTTTCCCTCCTTGTACTTTATTTAAGGTGAATTTTGGTGCATAGATGTTTTGAATTTTAATACAGTTAAATCTTATCAGTCTTTTACTTTTGATTTGCCTGGATCTTGTCTAAGAAATACTTCCCTATTGCAAGCTGATAAAGATAAACCTCTGCTATTTTCATCTAAAAGTTCCAAGTTTTCGTTTCACATTTAGTTCCTCCGTCTGTCTAGGATTGATTTTTGTGTTTGGTATGGGATAGGGACCCATTTTCTCCCATTTGGAAAGCCCAGGACCCCAGTTCCATTTACCAACTAGTTCAGCTCTTTCCCCTAGACCCTTCAGGGCCACTTCTGTCATCTATCAAGTAGTGGACTCTCTGCCATGTTCTACTGACCTCTTTCTTTATCCCTGGATGAAAACCCCACTGTCCTAATTACTACAGTTTTATAAAAGGTACTGATATACAGTAAAGCAAGTGCCTCCACCTCATTCTATTTTAAGAATCATTTCGGCCATTTGGGGGCACAACTTGCATCTTTATTCTTTCCTTGAGTTTACCCTGGTCTGGTACAAGTAACCAAATGGTAGCTCAGTAAGCAGAAGGGAGAAATCAAGCCAAAGCTAGCCCTGGATAATACATAAGTTCAATATTGAAGTCCTAAGTAAATTAATTCCTAAGAAGTTACTGTGTAGTAATGAATATAGAAAGCCCATATAAGATAGAGCATGTTTTTACCAAAAAACAAAGTAAAACAAAAAGCAAACAAAAAAATTTAAAAACCTTTCTGAGCAAGGCTCATTTAAAAACCGAAACTAGAGACCATCCCTGGTCAATACCAATGTTCTTGCCTTTATTTTCTAAAAATGCTACTTTTTAAGAAATTTTTAAACCTGCCTACCCAAAAGGGGAGAGTCAGGGATTTTTTTTTTTAAATTTTTTAAATGTTTACCGATATTTAAGAGAGAGAGAGTGTGAGCAGGGTGGGGGGGAGGTAGGGGCAGAGAGAGACAGAGACAGAATCCGAAACAGGCTCCAGGCTCTGAGCTGTCAGCCCAGAGCCTGACACATGGCTCGAACTCTAGAGCCATGAAATCATTACCTGAGCCAAAGTAGGACGCTTGATAGACTGAGCCACCTAGGGGCCTGCCCCTTAATGTTTATTTATTTTGAGAGAGAAAGAGAGGAGTTGGGGGAGAGGAGCAGAGAGAGGAAGAGTGAGAATCCCAGGCAGCCTCCAAGCGGTCAGCGAAGAGCCCGATGTGGGGCTCGAGCTCATGCACCGGGAGATCATGACCTGAGCTGGGATCAAGAGTTGGATGCTCCACCGACTGAGCCACCCAGGTGCCCCTATGCTTCTAGTTTGCATATAGCTCATCATAGGGAGTTGTGTAAAATAGTGTTAAAACTTTGCATTTGTTTCCTGGATCCCTCAGAGCATCCAAATTGAAGGCCAATCTGTCCCTGAGAAACCCTGAGAATGCACCAGTTCTGTCAAGCATGGGCCTGTGGATGAAGTATGCTTTATTTCATTCAAGGGAGACTTCATTTTCCTGCGAAATGCTCTCAGTGACATTTTTATAACCTCATGATTACTACTTGGTGTTCTGCAGTGTCTTCAGATTCAGACCCTCTTATATGGAGCACAGGACAAAAGGACTCTGGCCACCCAGCAGACAGTGGACGTCCTGTCCAAGTGAGTTGGCTTCCCCTTGCACTGTTTCCTTTGCCATTCAGATCTCAGAGGAAGCTGGTTCTGTAAGGTTCTGTGGAACTTTCCATGGAAAGTTTTACTAACTGACTTCCCATAACTCATAAACTATGCAACACCAGTGATTCCTTTGAAAGCCCAGCTGTCAAATATCCCCCTTGCCCAGATACTAAGAAAAGATTGGCTCTTGAATAATGGCAGAAACACACTGGGACTCTCCCTCCTGCAGACCAGGGCCTGCGGGTCACCTCCCCTGCTGGCAGGCGAGGGCACAGTGCCCTGGCGTGGCCTGCTGGAGGCCTGCCTTTGGCTTCCCTTTGCTTTCAGCGTGCCTGTCAGGACGGCGGCCTGAGAGCCCTCTGACTTCACCTTGAAGGCTGGCCCCAGGTCTTTCCACTCCCTGCTGTGGAGAAGCCGCCCCTCACAGAGCCAGTGTGGCCCAGAGCCTGTGGGCTGACCGCCAAGGAAGGATCATGGAAGCACCGAAGGCGAGGAGACAGCCGGCAGGGGGCGCTCTCTCAGAGCCGCCGGCCCGACCGGAGGCAACGTTGAACGCTGAGCCCGCCAGGGCCTCCAGCCCAACCTTTGTGCTTGTGATCTGCTTGCTGAGCCAGCTAAGGGTTGACCCTCTCAGCTCAGGGAGAAAATGGTCGCAAGGAATTAGAACACGGGAGAAAAAAACCTTGGGATTTAGGTTGCTGTGCCAGGATTCTCTTCTCCTTGGCCTTCCCTCCCCAGACTCCTTCGCCAGCTGTTAGCTCAGCAGCCCCTGGGCTTCTCTTCAGAGCAACAGTGGTCCGGGGGCAGCACGCTCACCCCACTTTCTGCCTGTTTGCAGGGCCCCCGAGGTGGCCGCGAAGACCCGGCAGGCCCCGAAAGCCAAACCGGCCTTCTTCACCGGCGTGCCGGGGAAGGTGCAGCCCAGCGCAGCGGACTGAGAGCCCCACCCCTCCCCCAAAGAAAGCTTGGGTCGGGCCCGGGTGCTGACATTTGGGGTGCAGTATAAACCTCTCCGACTAGAAGATGGGAGTCGACAGATTTTTCCGGGCTGTTTGCTCCAGCATGCAACAGAGATGTCGCGTTTTGACAGCGGATGCCCTCCAGGGTGATCTGGTGCTTCTGTAAAGCAGATTTCTTTTTCACCGTCCAAGTGGTTTCCCTTGCAACAAAACTTTCTACCCAGCAGCACGACTGTGGCTGAAAGGCTTCTCTTCAAAAGTTTCAAACTTCCTGTGTATGGAAGTGGACCCAACATCTGGCCGTACCTATGAATGCCCCTCACATAGATCTGGAGTCTGAGAGCAAATGCTGGCCAAAGCCCATTCTTTCTTGTAGGAAGATAATAGGGATGCAGCATAAAATGCTAAGAATCTTGGAGGTGCTGGGGTTGGTATGTTTTTCAAATGCAGGCTGCCTCAGAGTTCCTGGAGCCTAGAGAGGGATTCGAGGAAGCTTCTCTTTACTCCTACAGCCACTGAACGTGGCTGAGCACCCTGCGTGCACCAGGCCAGTGCTACGAACTGGGGACCTGACAGTAAACAGGACACACTGTCCCCATCCTCTCAGACCTTGCCAGCCAACATGGATGCTAATTACTAAACATAAAGTGGTAGAACGAGTTGGTAACAGAGGGAAAGAGCCCAGTACAGCAGGGCAGGGAGTAATGGGAGTAAACGGGCTGGAGGTCAGGGGAGGCGGGTGTAAGGGAATGAAGACAGAGGAGTAGGGGTGAGGCCAGCGGGGAAGGGCTGCAGGAGAGGGCCTCTACTCCAGGCAGGAGAAACATGGCTGCCCTCTGGAGGTTCTTTTTGGAGTCGGCACAGCCCTTGGCCCCCTGCTCTCCCAGCTATTTCCCCGGGTTCAGCATGTGAGGTAGGGAGGGTGGAGCGGACGAGCACTCACGTCCACAGTGGTCTTCAGTCTCCTGCGGGGGAGGCCATTGCCCCTTGAGAAGGAAAGAGCAGAGTGGGAAGTTTTGAGCACCTTTCTCCATGGTGTCCACAGGAGACTGGGTACCGGAAGGAGGGAGAGTACACAGTGGGCGGGATGGGCTGTGGGCAGCATTGTTCCTTCTCCTTCCCACCCTCATCCCACGAGCCGAGGCCCAGCAAGGCTGTAGGCTGGTGCTAAGATGCCAGCAGGACACAGCACGGGCCCCTTCTACTCCAGTGCCCAGTAGGTGCTCTGGTTCCATTTGTGCAGGGTGGAGAGAGAGAGGCAAGGTCCCTTGTCCCCCTTGGAAGCTATGGCAGCTGACCACACAGGCCACCCCCACTCGTACCCACTCATCCCAGGTGGGATGAAGGCCATGTGCAAGCTGGAGGCCTGAGACACAGTCGCTACTCACCGGGTATCCCATCTAGTCGGAAGACACAGGTTCCGACATGGATAGAAAAAGTATTTTAAATATTTACCACGTTGGAGTCTGCCAGGGACTGAATGTGTGTGTACCTCCAAAATTCACGAAGCCCTAATCCCCAGTGTGAATGTATTAGGAGGTGGGGCCTCTGGGAGACGAGAGCCCCGTGAATGGGATTAGTGCCCTGATCAGAAGAGACACGAGACAGAAGATCGCTCTCTCCACCACGTTAGGTCGCAGCAAGAAGACCGTCTGCAAACCAGGCAGAGAGCCGCAACCGGGCGTCGAATCTACCAGCATCTTGATCCTTCACTTCCAGCCTCCAGAACTGGGAGAGAGAAATGTCCGTGGTTAAAGCCTCCCAGGCTGCAGTACGCTGTCATAGCAGCCTGAGCAGACAGCCATGCTAGGCTTTGGGGGAAAAAAGTGAATTCTGAGGTTACTTCTTCCTCTCTTTCTTGGAGAATAGTATCTTGCAATCACAGAAACTAAAATATATTTTAAAAAATTTAAACCCCACCCCAAGGAAAGAATGAATATAGGAATGTCCCACCCAAATGTCTCCCATCTATTAAATGTGTGAACTTCAACACGAGAGGAAGACTATAGATATTCATGGGGAGGGGGTGATAAAAAGTTAGACAGGTAAGGGTACCTAATAACTATTCCTTTGTCTCATTCTACTGCAAGTTTTTCAAGCACCTAAGAAACAGCCAGGATTAACTAACCACTCCGATTTGCACTCAAAGTAACCATTTTGGTGTGCCGAGGACGGTCCTGGTTTTAGCACTGAAACCGTGTCCCGGGGGACCCCTCCATCCCAGGCAAAACAGGATGGCTGGTCACCCTACTGACACTAGCCTTCCAGTCTATATTTGAATATGAGCCAGCTGGTTTTTGCTCTGTCTGCTACGCTTTGTAGTTTTGTGTTAACAGTATCAAGTTCTGATTTGGGTAAAGAGCCAGAACTTTCCATACATATTCTCCCCAGTGATTCCGTGCCACCATTAAAAAAAAAAAAATCATGCATGTAAAACACATAGATGCTTTAATTAGAGCTTAAATAGAAACCACAAAAACACCTACTGGAAAACATTCATTCTCTTTAGGAACAATGTGGAGGTTTTTTTTTCCTTAGATTTTTATTTTTATACATTCTTGTGACATTTCCCTTCGTAGGGAACAGGAGCTTAGAAAGATGAGCTTTGTAAGTGATTCCATTCTAAATATACATTTGAAACAAATGATATCAAAACAACCAGTGGGAAGGTGAAAAACATTCCATTAATACTGTTTTGTCTATACAACAGCAAAAATTGGTTCTGTCCCAACCCACAAAGTTGATTTCTATGGTCTCCAGAGCGACTGGTTTTAAAGGACACAGAACTTTCAGGCGACCTTCACAGTGTGGAGGGCATGCCTGCTCCTGGGTGATCCAGAGACTGAGTAACCAAAGACAGCTCAGGAGTCCATATTGGTAAGTACTTTTGGCAGGATGCTTCTTGAAGACATGTGTTCTAACATGGAAATATAAATTAAGACCTAAGATATTTTCCAAAGAGAGGTGGGTCATGATATTAATAATCTGTCCCCGTTAGCACTCATTTACAAGATCACAAGGCAGGAGAGGGACATTAAAGTAAGCCCACTCAGACTCACATAACAGACTCCCCATCCTCAGTCTGTGTCGCCATCAAAACAGTAGGCTGTCACCTTGACCAATAAATCACTTCTACAAATACCATTACCAATTACAGCTAACATAAAATCGCCCATCTTTGACTATATGAGAAACAAGAAGGCTTTGTTTGCCAAGCCATCACCTCTGTACCAGTCTGTGACAATTACTAGTTCATTTGGAAGATAACAAAGGTTTAGACTTGCAGTTCAACTTTTTCTATACCCCGATTCACAGTGTTTGTAAAATGGATCATCCTGAAAGCTTGGCTGCATTTCTCCTCCACTTATTAAGAAAATGCACTCTCCCTAAACTACCTGCTGTAGCCATTTCTAGGAGCTGAGGGCCACTGTGTGACATCCCCCCCTCCCCCCACCGAGGGAAGACCCTCATGCCATAACCACCACCCCCAACATCATAACCCACTAGAGGATGGCATTACCTCCAATCACTATTCCTCAGTGTCCTACTGGCAGCTCTAGGATTCTTTGTTACCGGAAGTACAGTTTAAACAATGTTATGTGCAAGCAACTAGTTTGGATTAAAATAATACTGTGCTGCTGGAGAGGTAATTTCTGTGTGCCGCTACCTTTAAAGACGAAGCCTTAAAAGCAATACCCTTATGTAAAATAAAACAAACCCAGTAAAGCACACTCACTCTTTCTAGTACCTTCAACTTCACGGTGTGTACCTGCACGTCGGCATCCCGTGGCCCGCGAGGGTGGGGCCTTTGCCTTCCTCCAGGGCCCCTCCTGGGTGCTGGGCAGCAGGAGAGGCACCCAGTCCCTCCCACAAAACATCTTATCCTATGTAACATTAGTATTCTCTTCCCTGGGCAAAACACCCCAGCTGTAATGATTTCTGTTGAAAATGCAAAAACGGGGGCGCCTGGGTGGCTTGGTCGGTTAAGCGTCCGACTTCGGCTCAGGTCATGATCTCACGGTCCGTGAGTTCGAGCCCCGTGTTGGGCTCTGTGCTGACAGCTCGGAGCCTGGAGCCTGTTTCAGATTCTGTGTCTCCCTCTCTCTCTGCCCCTCCCCTGTTCATGCCCTGTCTCTGTCTCAAAAATAAATAAACGTTAAAAAAAAAAAATGCAAAAACGTCCTCGAGGTTGGTTGTCATTTTGCATCACCCAGACTTCGGTCCCTTTAGCGGTGCGTTGCAAGGCCTTCTCTGGGAGGCACAGTCCACCCTGTGCTTCCAATGTCACGGCACAGGATCATCTGGCAAGCCAGGCTCTAGCTTGAGCATCATCAGCATTCTCTTTACTGTCTTCGGGGTCTGCCTCCCGCCAGTAAAATTAAATGTGTAGACAGGGCTAAGGGCTAAGGGTTAAGGTGTGGAGAAGCTTAACACTCTGGCGGGAGCTGGCTACTCCAGAACTTAGGTTGTAACAAACAAGAATACTTAGACTGTATGCTACTTAACAACCCAGTGCTGTGAGAAAGGAAATACAATAACCCATTCCCAACAGTCACTTTCCCTACACACAAGCCCAGGGTGGGCTTCTAAGAACTTCTTAGAACTAAGAAGCTCTAAGAACTTCTAAGAACACACGAACATAGCAAGCGTGTGGACTTGGAATATCAAATGGGCTGAAGCTGGCCTCTCCATAAACAAAAATACTATATATTTTTTGGAGTTCTGCACATAGAAAGCAATTCATTCAAGTCTCAAAGTGAACTTAACTTTTTCCTAAATTTAGAACCATTTAGGTTTTTTTTTTTTCACTTTTATCTTTTATGGAAGCAATCTGCTTCTTTCCTAGGATTTCTTTTTGAGAAGACTTGGAAAAGTGACAAATGTACGCATTTTTCCTTTTAAATGTTAGTTGATTATTTCATATTAGCACATGCAAATAAAATGTACTCTTAAATATATTACTTTAATCTTGTTATCATATAGGCATCTTACTATACTGTTACCGTTTAGGCATTTTCCCTATAGAGAGTTGATTATAACTTCAAACAGATGTGAGGCATTTCCGTGACCAGGAGCAAAATTGGTCGAAACTGTCTCAAGCAGTGGAGAGAAAACTCCAGAAAAAGGAACTTTTAAGACTAAAAAGATAAAAAATATTTGTGTCAAAGTTCCAACTCAAAAGTAAAATTCAAATGCCTTCGAAGGCATGAATTAATTTGACACCTTTACAGATGATAAAGTAAAGTGACATCGCCCGGAGCGCTCTTTGGAGAAAGTAAGAAAAGTGGGGAGGTCTTCATAAAGACTGAGCCTCCCTTCTTCAAAGAAGTAAAGGCCTCTGTGTGTTACTGTGTTACCGGCTAAGACACCACTGAAAACAAAATATTTGCTTATCAAAACCAGTGGCCCTCATTGTCCTCCTCCTGATTGTCTAGATAGAGGAGGGCAACTTTCTTTTCATCCGAAATCACCGACCTTTGGTCTACCATCCTCTGTAGCTGCACCGTCCTGTCAAACTCAGCCTGTGCCTTGCCCTGTTCCCCGGGGACCTGGTGTCCGTCCCCGGAAGAGCCCTGAAAGCTCACGCTGGCCACCCAGGCATTCCCACTGCCCCCGTCTCTCCAGGCACCACGGTCAGGGGCACCATGAGCCGCCGCTTCCGTCCCTGCGGGGAAGAAGACCGTGGTGTCTTGCGTCCAGCGGGGGCTCGCCTCCACGTGACTTATGTCCATCTGAAAGGTAAACGGAGAGTCTTTGGGGCCCTGTGCCACGAGCCTGAGCACCCCGCTGCCGTCTGCCAACTCGCCTAGCTCAGGGGAGCCCGCTGAACCGGCAGGTGCAAGCGATTTGGAAACGGGCTCGTGGAAGACAACCCGTTCAGAGGCTATGGTCTCTGCGGGACCCAGACAAATGTGCCTAAAGGCTCTGCTCATGCCCGGTGTCTCCTCTGCCCCTCGTGCATCTCCCACACTGGCCTCCTGAGGCCACTGGGAACTGGCACTTTGGAAGGTGCTCTTTCCGGTCATCAGGATCCTCCCACCCACAGTGGAACTACGCGCAGCCTGGCTCACGTCTGCCGAGCCCTCTCCATGGGCACTGCTTTCTGAGTGGCTGAATTCCCGGGGCAGGGGAACTATGTGCTCAGTGGTCTGATGCTGCTGAGCCCAGACCGTGACCTGCCTAATGGATGTGCCGTCCCCTGACCACTCTTCAGTGCTCACGGAAGCTTCCCTGATACTCAACGCCCTTCTGTCTGAAAGGGGGGCTCTGAACTGGATCTGCTCCCCGAACCCCTCTCTGGGGCCCACCTGAAGGTCCTTTACAGAAGTCTGGGTACTGACTCTTCTGTTTGAAAATAATTGCCAACCTTCCCCGACCCAGAAATGGGGCCCTGAAAAGCAATTTCCCTTTCAGCATGAAATTGTTCGGAGCCAAACACACTGCGCCTCCCCGCTGTGTCCACATCTGTGGACAGGCCAGGCTCTTCTGTGCCCCCTGCCTCCCGAAAGGCAGGGACAGACCTTTGGAAGAAGACTTCCTGGGACACTTGACTTTGATCAGGACTCAGGGTGAAGTGCCTCACAGACCAGGTGGCTCCTGGCGAGCTCAGGGCTGGACTTAGGTCCCCTTCCCCACTTACCTCCACCACTTGTGCAGTGGGTCCTTCTCGTGAGACTTGCTCAGTCCTCCAAATCCCAGTGGGGTCTACTTTAACACGCCTGACAGACCGGCTCACGTCCTCTACCACGTGTGACTGGGCAAAGCCCCTCGGGCTGGTGACTTCTACCGTGGCTGACACCGGACCTGGGGAAGCGACCTGCTCTGTGCCCTGAGAGGCCCGGCTGGCATTGCCCTCCTCACCGCCAGGGCGGTACAGTTCCTGGGTGGCCCAGCGCTTGAAGTGAAAGCCGGCAGCCGGGGGCTCCTCTGCGGTCTCGTCTGGGCTTCCAGGCGCCGGGCTGTGCCGCCTGGCCAAACTGTCTCGTACCACTGACTCCACGGTTTTCTCGATTTCACTGGCTTCGTCTTTGCTCAGCTCCTCCAGGTCTAACTGATCGGCATCCACGGTTCTCGAGAGGTTGACTTCGGCAACCAAGGTCACGGACCTACCCCCGGAGGTGTGGACTTTCTTTACGTCGACTGAAACGTTCTCGGGCCCGCCCTGACCCTCTCTGGTGAGAGCAGACAGCTCTTCCTTCATGCGCTCCGGAAGGCTCTCTTCCAGCTGCCCGATAACCTCCACCAGCTGGTGTCTGGGCTCCTTGAAGGATCCCTTAATGGACATGTGGAACTCAGGTGGTATCTTAATCTCCTTCTCGATGACTGTGGGCTCAGCATGAAATTCACCACTTCTAGCTTGTTCCTTCCAGTGAGTATAACCCACCTCCTCCTCCGCAGAAGGTTCTGAGATGTCCGACGGCTTCACCACCTTCTCCCCCAGCCCATCATCTGTCTTTATTCTTCTCCGAGTCCCTGGCACGATTTCATCTTGCCAAGAGTACCTGATGGTGGACTCTTCTTCAATGTGGATCTGCCCATACACCGAGCCCTCGTCTCTGTCCTGCCCCGCAGGGTGCTCATCTGGGGTCGACACAAAATAACTCTGCTCTCCCTCTGAGTCACCCGCCTCCATTACTTCTTCAACGTGAGTTACATTCTCTTGGGGCCGCTTGGTCTTTTTATGCTGATTGCCTGAGAACATGACGTCTGTTTCTCCATAACCTTCTTCCTCCTCAGCCAGCCCCTTGGAGCCCGGAGACACATCATCAACCTCCTCCACTTCGAAGGGGGTAGAAAACTCATCCGCCTTCTCACCAGCGACATAGCTCACGGGCTCCTCAATGATCTCCACGTTGACCACCCTTGCCCTCCCCTCTCTTCCTTTCAGACCAAGGTTGATTATGTCTCCTATCATCCGCTCAGCCGATTTTCCTTTCAGGTCCACCTCCTTAACATCCTTGCTCAGAAGATAGTCCAGGCCAGCCTCGTCTGAAATATCCACCTCTTCGGTCAGTTTCGACTCCACGACTATCTCAGTCTTTGTTTTCCTGTCGCCGGGAAGCTCCTTCCTGTCCATGTAAGTGACCTTCGTGTCCGGAAAAGAATTAGCAGATGTCTCTGTATCAGGAGACTGGGTAAACTGCTTCAGGATACTGGAGACGATGTTTTCGGCTATGGTTTCAGTCGTGGAGTCACCCTTCGGGGAGCTGGTGGTGTCGCCGCGGTCCAGCCTGAACCTGGCCTCCCTCTTTTCCATGCCTCTGCCTGCACCGTCACGAGCATCCCCCTGGAGGGGAGTCTGCAAACCTTTCGGGGCCACCCCTGGTGTGCTGTCCTGGGAGACTTCTAGACTGATCGGTACCTCTCTTTCTCGAACACTCTTCTCCTTCGCCGACTCCTTCCCTCTCTCCTTTTCCCTCATTTGCTGGCTTTCTCTTTTTCTTGCTTCTTTATCTAACTTTGTCAGCTCTTCCCACCTTAGATTCCTCTCCTCTGAAGCCTTCTCTTTGGAATCAAACACCTTCTCTTCCCACTTTGTTTGGATGGCACCTGGCCTGTTTCTCTCCTGCTCTCTCGTGACGTTAGCCCCCGTCTTCTTTTCCACAAGGACGGTTCTCTCACTTGACCGCGTGCTTTTGGAAGCACCTGCCGACACATTGTCCCGATAGGGCTTTTGGGCAAGGGCGGGCTCTCTGGCTACATTAGCAGAGGCGGCCTTTGTACCTGCGGTTCTCGGTCTTTCGGGGAATGTTTTCGCTGGAGCCTCAGTATCCCTTAAAAGACCGGGCACTGGAGAGAAAGTTCTGACGCTGGCTTGGCTGTTGGCAGGTTTTTCCTGAGAGTCGGCAGTTTTGCCGTCAGTTTTCTCCCACCGGGTAGCGGTTAGGGAAGAATATCCCGAGCCTAGGAAGCCACTGCCCGCAGCACCTGGGACGGCGGGCCGAGCTCCGGGCTTTGCCGACAGGTGAGAGCGCTGCGCCAGGCTGTGGCTGAAGCTGGCCGGAGGTGCTTTCCGCCTGGGAAACAGATTTCGCTCATTTTCCCTCTGCAGCACCGTGCTGGCATACTGATAGGATGTTTTTCTGAACTCTGCAGAAAACGACAGTCATCATCACCTCTCTCATCTTAAAAGCATCACTACAGGTCAAATCCCATCCCATCATCATAAATACAAACTGTTATGGCAGAAAGGGCATTTACAAATGAGCTATTTTCCACCCCCAAATCATTGATTTTGGTAGTTTAAAAAAAAAACCCGTTACAGTAAAATGCAGCGCTATGCATGCCACAGCACAATACTTTGCTCTCCTTGCTGATCTTCAAATATCATCCACCTTCACAAACATCAGCAAACGTGAGCTCGCGCAGCTCGGCGTGTGCATTTGAGAGGCTGGGTGCTAGTCTCTGTGGATTAAATTTCACAGTACCATGATAGTTTGGAAACATGCATTGCTGCTTTGTGGACAGCCTGAGTTTATTTTACTTATTTCCGTGCAGAAGAGAGCTTCATAATTACAAAGTACAAGATCACTCCACGCTAACTGGCATTCTCTCTCCCCCATTTAATATGCTCTGATTTGTCACTGGTTTCCATGTTGGGCCAACAAGTATTGACGAGGTTAACTTTTTCTAAAGCTCCCTGGCTTCTTCTATTTTTATACTTCTATTTTTTTTCTTTACAAACTGTCCATTTGAAAGGGAGCCAGAGCAGGAAGCTGACCAGACACCAACACTACGGTCTGTTTTAATGTCCTGATCCTGGGCTTCTTGCTTTGCTCCGGACGGTCCACAGAGGGTGCTTACCCTCGGGGATGTCCAAACTCCAGGTGGGTACCTGCTCTCAGGCATAGCAGCTGGTGGGTTAGAATGTGGTCAAGAGCACCGTCCACCCTGAGAGCGCCCCCTTGTGCCCACCACACCCCATCCGGCTGAGCCTAGCAAAGCCCACTCTCCACCCTTGATCTCCCCGTCACATCAGCCAAAGCCAGGGGCCTCTTTAGGACAGAGCTCAGGGTACAAGAGAAAGACCAGGCCAGGACATTTTCTCCAAGATTCCTCCTTTCAGGTCAATATACTGATCTTAAACAGAGAAGCCCCAGAAGATGAATCCCTGGGAAACTGCAAGAACCATCTGGTCTTTAATTAAGGTTCACCAAGAAATATGGAAGATGACAGACTGGTTTTAGGCTGTCAACCGAGTGTGGGCAAGTGGCCAGAATTATTCTATACAATATTACAAAAGAAACATAAGTGTATTCATAAGTATTGATAAATTCACTATCTAAGAACACATCCGTACATTTATTCAGTGAACAGTTAACTGCATGTATATCACACAGGACACACAACTATCTGGAAACTCAAAGCCTATTAAAAGAGTTCACAATTGGTCCTCTTTATTCTAATGCTACTTTCTTTTAGCCTAATCCATAACTGCTAAAATAGATTTAGTTTACAAATACTGTCTCTGTATCCTTTAACAAGCCAGATGAAACAATCAGTGAATGAAACAAGTTAACAGAGGCCCCCAGTAACCCTCCTGCTGAGTTCTCCCTAGGCTCCAAGAACTCAGCTAGTCAAAGATTAGCAAGCCCTGGCCCTGAACTGGTGGTTCTCCTCAAAGTGTGGCCCCAGCCCTTTTCTCCTCTCTCCCTTCTAAGTGATGTGATGGACTTTCAGACTTAAATAGCCTCACGTAAAAAATCTAAGTGACTGAAGTAAACCTTGAAATCTGGTGAATAACATCTTTGCTTTTTTTCAACCTTACTCTCAAAATCCGTAAGTAAACTTACTGGATATTGTCTAAGACCCAATTCCTACCAGTCACAGACACCTGAAACCAAAATTATTGTTCTGAATCAGTGACCTTTCAAATCTGTGAATTGCCTGCTGTTTTTGAAAAATAAAGATGGAAACTATTGTTTTTTTTTTTTTTTAATATGCCATCTATCCAGACTGGCAGTTAACTAAATATTCTCCTGACAGATGTACCAAATATATGCATTCCCAATTTGCCATGATTTTGAATATGGTAATACTCATGCAGACCGAAACTCTGCTGAATAAGGTATATACTAAACATACTGTAAGTAATTTAATCTGCCTTGCTTAGCCAGAAAGCCCTTTAAGATTCTATATGGCTTTTAAGCTTTTTTTTTTTTCCTTTTTAAAGTTATCCTGCAGGTTTCTTAGGGTCTTTCTAGTGAACACTAACCTGTTCATTGGTTCCGTAGCTACAGGAAATATGACCTTTATTCTGTAGCTTTTGGCCTCAATCAAGACAGACCTTAGGGCACCCAGTGACACCTGCTACCCATGTCAATCCGAGCTGCCCGGGCCAATGCAGCTCAGTAATACAAACGGTATAACCGTTCCCATCTCTGCCCCCACGGGCCAGCGAGTTCCAGAGAGCAGACTACTTGCCGTAAAAAGTAATACCTCCTGATACTTGTGTTAAAACTGTAAGATCTACCCTATGACCCAGCAATAGCACTGCTAGGAATTTCCCCAAGGGATACAGGAGTGCTGATGCATAGGGGCACTTGTACCCCAATGTTTATAGCAGCACTCTCAACAATAGCCAAATTATGGAAAGAGCCTAAATGTCCATCAACTGATGAATGGATAAAGAAATTGTGGTTTATATACAGAATGGAATACTACGTGGCAATGAGAAAGAATGAAATATGGCTTTTTGTAGCAACGTGGATGGAACTGGAAAGTGTTATGCTAAGTGAAATAAGACAGGCAGAGAAAGACAGATACCATATGTTTTCACTCATATGTAGATCCTAAGAAACTTAACAGAAGACCGGGGGGAGGGGAAGGGGAGGAAAAAAAGTTACAGAGACGGAAGGAAGCAAACAATAAGAGACTCTTAAATACTGAGAACAAACTGAGGGTTGATGGGGGGAGGGGGAGGGGTGGTGACGCATTTTGAGGAGGGCACCTGTTGGGATGAGCACTGGGTGTTGTATGGAAACCAATTTGACGATAAATTTCATACTGAAAAAAAAATCAAAAAATAAAAGGGGAAAAAAATAAATAAATAATAAAAAAAGAAATATATCCCGAAGTGGTGGGGAGAAAAAAACAACCTATAAGTCTTTGGTCCGTAAAGGGTGTTCCTTCTGAAGGGTATGACAAACAAGTCCACGTCCACTGTCTCCTTGCCCTTCACCCTTCCCGCCTCTCCATCAGCACCCCCCTCCTCCCCACTCACCACACTGGGTAGGAAACGCCCCCAAAGTATTGGCTAGATGAATAAATGAGCTTACTAAACACTGTCCCATGCATTCACACTTACATTGCTATTTAAACCACAGCCTATCAAATAAAATCTGGCTGGTACTTAAGAGAGGCATGAATGACACTTATCTGAAAAAAAAAAAAAATCATACCTAATCCCAAATTCTTCCTGACAAATGATGCCTTACTATTTAACCATGGAATCAACCTGTTCATATAGAAAACACCCTACAATTAAATATTTAGCTTTTCTTATATTTACCTTGTGGCACGTTTTCAATGCGCTCAGTCAAGATCAGTATCTCTGGATTACTTTCTCCTTCTAGTAAGGCTCTGTAAAAATTTAAAAAAAATTCATCAGGAAATAAAAGAGTGAGAAGTGCTGCTGAAAGCCATAGTATGTAGTATCTGGTCCATGACCACAGTGTCCCAGTGTCACAGGACTTGTGTCTGAAGATACTGCACCATAGGGATCGAAGCCCACCTCAGTGGGCCTGGCTGGATAGAGCAATGAACATAATGTGGGGTGAGGGCTACAGACATTCTAGAAAGCCCTGGGGCGCCTGGGTGGCGCAGTCGGTTAAGCGTCCGACTTCAGCCAGGTCACGATCTCGCGGTCCGTGAGTTCGAGCCCCGCGTCGGGCTCTGGGCTGATGGCTCAGAGCCTGGAGCCTGTTTCCGATTCTGTGTCTCCCTCTCTCTCTGCCCCTCGCCCGTTCATGCTCTGTCTCTCTCTGTCCCAAAAATAAATAAACGTTGAAAAAAAAAAAAAAAAAGAAAGCCCTTCCAAGCCCAGGACAAGGAAGAGGAGGAGAAGAGAGATGTGGGCCTAGGAATGGGGATCAGGGGTCTGGCTTGTCTGGGAAGCGGGGACAGGCCCATGCACAGCAGATCTCCCCAGGGCTAAAGGGCCCCAGAATAATCATAACTCCCACAGGGGTCTTTCTGGAGTCACACGTTGGGGGTCGACTAAGAGCAGAGCAAGGACTGATACTGGTTTGTAAATAAGGCAGCCAGAATGCATTTATGGTTTCTACACTGGGTGTACTGGGGACATCCTGGAGAGAAAAGGGAAAACAAGAGATGGAAAGCGTGCAGGTAGAAGAGAAAAAGGACAGGCTGCAGACCACCTCTCCACCGTGTCATCCAGAGAAGCATCCTGGTCTCTCCTTTAACGAAACAGCAAAAGGCACTTGATCGGGTGATTCCTTTGGCCACATCCAGAAGTCTAAAACTGCAGTGTCTTCAGTAAGCTGTCATTCACGCACACAACTCAGAGCCCTGGGGGAGAACGGGGTGTCAGGCTCTGGGCCCGAATCACCCGGCGTGCTGGGACAGGTCAGCACCGGGACGTCCGTCACTGAGAGAGACCCCGAGGACGCTGGCCGCTGCGGCCACAACAGTTGTCTTGGTTGCTAGAGCAATGTGTGAAGTCACTAACGTCAGTTCCAAGAAACACACTGTATATGGCAAAGGGCAACCAGAAGCTGGGCCCACTTGGAAATACTGATATTACCACTGGGAGCTGGGCACAAAAACAGAGGAGTGATGCCAGATCCAAGCAGGGACTCAGTGGTTCAGGCAAACCAGCGCCAAGTTCTATTTCCACCGATTCAAATGTGGTGATCCCCGTAAGTGCGAGAACCCCGTGGGCAGGTGGGGGATGGCCAAGGAAGAGCCCCCCCCCCCTTAGGGGAAAAAAGCAAAGACAAGGGCGAACGGGATCCCACTCAAGGTGTATGCGGCAGGGGAGGGGGTCTGCCACCGAAGCAGGGACTGAGGTACTCACTCAGGAAGATGAGGGGCCCAGTCCAGAGCCCCAGCCCGTCCACTCGGGGCAGAAGCCAGGAAACGGGACACCAACCCGTTAATCCCACATCCTCATGACCAAGCGTTTTAGGTTCCAGGAGGAGTCCGGGTCAACAGAGAACTCAGTGACAAGGCAGGGCAGGGGGCTGGGGGTGTTCGGGATAAAGAAAGTCCCCTGGGGGATAGAAATAGCTTCCCCCATCCCTCAGCGAGAATGCTTTTGTTCCTCTCTCAGGAAATCCAAACGGTCGCCAAACTCTGACTGAATTCAGGACCCTGAGGGGGAGGCTATGGTTACCGAGGAACGGGCACCAGTCACCTGAGGGGGTCTGTGGGGTCACCGGCCCTGGCTAAGTCTGGGCACCGAGCGTGGCTCTGACCCTCATGAAGCCCTCCTAGCACCCCCATCCCGCCCCACACAGGGCCAACAATAAGCATCCGGCTCAGAGGTAAGAGCACTGGAGTGCAGGCAGAGTGTCTTGTCCAAAGGCACACAGCTCACCAGTGGGGAGGCTCGATGGAGCCCAGGCGCCCATCATCCCTGCAAGCTGCTTAGACCTTCCTGCCACGCCTAACACATCAGTATTTCACACACATTTTCAAAAGAACAAATCCGGCAGACAGACCCTCCAGAACGTATCAATGAAAGCATATTCAACATCTTCTGGTGACTTCCATCAAAACGCCCCTCCAGGGCTCTCCCACAATGAAGCTTCTTCCGGGGAAGAACTCAGTCGTCCTCTCAATGGCTGGCTCCCAGAAGGCAAAGCAATGTGTCACCTTCTCCGCCCGAGTGTCCAGCACAGAGTCTTACAGGCACGGTTGAGGCACTGTCATTTAAGTCACACCTTAATTAACAGACACCTCTCCTGACACACACAGAGTCCTGCCCTGTGCCAATGCAGCTCACAGGACTCAAAGGACAGAGGCACAAACAAACTCTGCTGAGGAGACGCCAGAAATTTCCTCAAAAGCTCTAAAAAGAACATTTTTAGGGAACAGACTCCTACAACTTTAAGAAAAGGGTAGAGCGTTCTCTGGTTATTTCGAGAGCATTGGAGGAAAACGGCCGCCAAGCCGTGGTGACTGTGAGAAATGCCAACCCCCTGAATCACGAGCTATTAGTGAACATTTTATACAGCCCCGCAGGCTGGCAGCCTGTTAGAGCAGGAAAATAAGCAAACATGTGCAGGAAAACCAAGTCCCTGGCCTCATTAAGGAGTCCGAGACAAATCCATAGTGCGTAAGTGAGCTATAATGTGGCCTCTGGCCAGGCTCCAGGCCCTAATAGACCCCACTGGTCAACAGAGCCAGGCCCACGGTGGGGGCTCTCTGGCCGGGATGGATTATCCTAACGCAATTACAGGGCACGTCCGCTATGATTCCTCACTGGGAGCACAAGGCACGCCTCTGTCTGCAATAAGTGCGGACAAGAGTGAGGGAAGTGGGACAGCTGGAAGATGTTTCCAGAAGTGATGCCAGTGGAGCCTACTGGGATGGTTCACAAAGTGCTTCTTGGCTAAGTGCAAGGGGGGGGGGGGG